ATGACCAATCATCCCTGGTCATCTTTCACAACGTGTGTGATGTCATCGGGTTATTATTGTCCTATTCTTATCATTATTGCTATTACTTCAGTCTCTGTGGCTGTTCATGTGCCAGTCGAAATGTTGCCGTAGTAACTTAAAAAAAGTGCCATCAGATGGCAGGAGCTACATTTGAAGTACCACATGCAAACTATTTAAGTCACTGAATCTTCCACAACTTCCTACAAAGTTTCACAATAAAAGCTTTTTAGAGAATGAAGGGATTCTCTCAACTGAAATTATAAGGGGCTTTTAATTTTAAATGGGTACAGGAAGTGCTGAGTTTGAAATGATGGTGCCATGCATTAACAACATCAAGGTAAACTGGAGCAGATTAAAAGTAAAAATATACAAATACAGAGGGAATAATAAATAACGGCCCTGTTTCAAATTAAGCTGGTGGTAAGTAAAAGCCCCGCCACTATTTTTTAATTTTATTACTTTATATCCTCCATTATTAAGAGGTAACAGTTTGCTAGCTTGATGCTAATGGCAGTACTCACCAGGCTGCTTAAGTGCCTCTGCTGTTTGATGCCATCATTTTTCCTTTTTAACTCTGTGGTAACATCCCTAGAGGAAATATCAAAATAGCTGGGGTTTGTTGACATATGGTAGCAGATTACTCTGTTTTTATTGGTCAAAGTGACAGCTGTGACGGGAGAAGTCCTGAATGACAAAAAGAAAATCATACATGCTAGACTTTCTGTCAGGACATCGTGAGGCGTCCCAGATGTGACGTCAGTTGTCATCTACTACGACACTACACAAGATAAAATGATGAATTATCGCATACGACACTCATTGTCATTCATGATCAGAGCTGACACTATATGACACTGCGTAGGTCTATAATCTGGCTGACATCATATAGTGTGTACCCGCCATTAAACATTCTTAAAGGGATAGTGCACCCAAAAATGAAAATTCAGCCATTATCTACTCACCCATATGCCGAGAGAGGCTCTCTCATACTTCTACTGTTATTATACACCTGGCTATTGGCACATATGTATACTATCAGGAAGAACTACTCAGCTCCTCCGAGAACCGTCACCTTATCGTGGTGGAGGAGTTTGAGTGCCCTAATGACCCTAGGAGCTGTGCTGTCAGGGGCATTTCGCCCCTGATAGGGTTTCCCATGGCAGATTGGTTCTGGGCGAAGGGTCAGACGAAGAACGGTTCAGAAGACCCTTCATGATGGAAGATAACAAGAGTTGGTGTACCCGGCCCGGAGGGTTACCGGGGCCCCGCCCTGGAGCCAGGCCTGGGGTTGGGGCCCGTGGGCGAGCGCCTGGTGGCCGGGCCTTCGCCCATGGGGTCCGGCCGGGCCCAGCCCGAACCGGCTACATGGGCTCGTCCCCCTGCAGGTCCACCACCCGCAGAGGGATCCAGAAGGGTTCGGTGCAGTGTGGATCGGGCAGCAGACCAAGGCGGGGGCCTTGGCGGTCCGATCCTCGGCTACGGAAGTTGGCTCTTGGGACATGGAATGTCACCTCTCTGGCGGGGAAGGAGCCGGAGCTTGTGGGAGAGGTTGAGCGCTACCGGCTGGATATAGTCGGCCTCACCTCGACACATAGTTCCGGCTCTGGAACCCAAGTCCTTGAGAGGGGTTGGACTCTCTCCTTTGCTGGAGTTGCTCCGGGTGAGAGGCGGAGGGCCGGGGTGGGCTTTCTGATAGCCCCCAGACTCTCTGCCTGTAC